TGTTATGGCAGCACAGATTTAGAAGAAATGACATGTTTGTAAAGATTTAGGCATCATTTCACAAAGAAAATAACTAAAATAAAGGCAAGAAAAGGTGAGTCTTATGATCAATATATTGTTTAGATCCCTTAACGCTGTTTTGAATCATAATTTGCTTGATTTTGAAAGTTCTTCATATGAAAACAATCAAAACAATCGTACAATTTGGGAGCGTTATAGTGCAGGAGGTGGAGACTCTTAGAAATATCAGAGATATATTACTATGTTCTGCGCAGTGCAATTATTGCAGTGCAGCTCCCTACCGAACAGAATATGCAGAATGCTAAATGAAATGGCTAAATCCTTTCAAACAATCTTAATTTATAGTCGAAATAAAATAATTTATGTCTTTTGTGCGTGACTTTAAAGGTAAAGCGTTCAAGAGTGAAAGAGCACAGAGACCCAGTTAGGCTAGGAGAAACTTAAAAAATGAAGAAAATAAATAAATAATTAAAAATAAAATAAAAAAAACGTCGTGATAATGTCAAAGTGGATTGTCCTTAAGTTTCATAGGTATTACTTATAAGGTGAGTAATACCAATAAGCACTTATAAGAAAAATCTACGTAGCAACTATATACCAAAGCAAAGCTACAAACGTAAAAACCGTGATTAAGGAAGTGATAATCATTCATTGGTTTCGTTTTTTTTTAAAATTTTAAGATCCTGGTTATGTTAGGAAACCTTTTTTTTTCTTGTGAAGTATTTTATTTGAATAAGATGAAAAACTGTGTGAAACTTTGATCCATCGACGAACCGCCGTCACCTATTGAACGTCACTTCCATGAAGCGATTTCTCGTTCTTAGTTTTTCCCTAATATAAAAAGTTTTCCTTTAAAAAAGTTACATAAATAACAGATTAACATTTTCCTATCCGTTCACATTTTTCTATAAGGTATTAACGATTCCACGATTTCAAATATGAATATAGAATTTTAATATTATCAATATATCTTGGATGATAATTATACGTAGTTTCTTCCATCTGAAACATTATAATAAAATGAAAAAATAAATATTAGAATTGTCTGCCAAACTTTTATAAATGTTTCTGTTACTTCATAACTACTTATTTCTAAATAATTGCATTTTTCAGTCATTAAAGAGAAAGATGATATGTAAAGAGGCTACTACGGGGGATATTTACAATTTCTTTTCAATCATCAGTGAAAAATTAAAATGTATCCCAATAATTTGTAATATTAATTATGTCCCTGTAGTATTTTTTATAAAAATATGTTTTATTTTTTCATACAAAATGGCCATTTGCATGACCTGCCCAAACATAATGGTGCCTTTAACTTTTTTTAAAATATATTTATGGAAAAAAATATATTAATGGTAATTGAATTTAAATATGTCTGAATACATTCTTGGATGTCAGATAGATGCTATCATAGTAAAAACGATTTAAATATAGAGTATTTGTAAAATTATAAGAAATTTTATTCGTCCCAAATGATATTCTTTCTTTTTCTTGATATGTCATGAAAGTGAATTATGCGCACATTCCTGTCAAAAAGTTCAAGAACAAACACGTAGAGAACTCGAGCAACATCATTCGATATTTTTCTTTGAAAAGATGACAAAAACAATGACGAAAAAGTCATATCCCGGACGGAGATTCAGGTCCCACAGTAAACTCGCCCGCTGTTTAAGAAGTTAAAAGAATGTTTTAAGTTAGTCAGTCTCGGGACAATAAATTCTACTCCATTTATGCAGTTCTTAGACCCTTGATGTTTTTGGGAAACTAGCGGGGAGCAATTGTTCTACCAAGAGCATGGCTGATATATTCTGACGTGGGTATTTTGGTTTAATCATCTTTGCCTCAAAGTATTCATTAAACAGCCCGGTTCTGTATGGACGAGCGTTTTTATCCATAAAATCGAACTGGAGATGAGAAAAACAATCTTATATAAGATATCTTCTGTGTTCCTCAGAAGGAGTGCATTCTTTGCCCTCCAAAACACTGAAACGGGCAACGTCAACTAGAGACGCTTGTTCTCTGATGAATGCAGATTCTCTCTAAAGAACGGTTTCCCTGATTTTAAAGAACCAAGGACTTCGATACCTAGTTGTTATCATGTTTTTGAAAATATTTTATGTATGATGATATCAATGATGAATTTTGGTAGGAAAATTTCAATCGAGCTTTCGTTTTGCTTATGATGCTTCGCATACAGATGTATATAATTTTTTACTTCTGGAGAAGGATTTTCAAAATATACATTGCAAATATGATTAACTCTTTCATTCCGGTAGGGTCTGAGATTTTGAGTTCCCCTGTTACGGCAGTTTTCAGAAGGAAGGTTTTTCACTTGAACTCGACCACGGTTCCCACCCAGTGAGATAAGTAAAAGGGGTGTAAATGATTCTCCTTTCTCTTCATTGAAACTCAGTCAAGTGGGGGAAAAATGCATGCAGCAACAAATTGTTGGATAAGTTTAAAACACCCCATTTACCAAAACGTTAGTTCAGCACTTTTTTGGCGACGAATAACTAGAATTGTAAAAGTTTCCTTCCTTCTTTTTTTGTTTTCTTTTTACATCTTTTCTATTGTTTTTTTTT